GGAAAAATCTGTCAATATGAGCTGATATTTTATATGTGGTGGACAATAACCGTAAAATCTGATGAAAATGCATATCGAAGGTAATTAAAAATCTGAACCGATCTCGATGGCAGAATTATTTTAGAAGAACCTGAACCGATCTCGATCAAATTTGGCAGAATTATTATCGAACTATATATATATTACGCATGTGAGGGGCATCAAATTGGATGAATCGGATGGGAGCTAAAGCTGTATCTGAAGCGATTTTCACCAAATTTGAAGTACAAGCTTCTAGGCTGAATTCTGTTGGAAGTGCCAAAATGCATCGGGGGGTACCTTATATGGGGGAGGAACCATGGCCGGCGCTTGAGTTCACTTGCACATTTTCAGCTGACTTCTTTGGCTAGTAATCACGATCATTTTGTTTGTGTACAAACCGCTGGACAACCAATGTTTTCTCATCGGAGACACCCAAATTCGGCAGTTCACGACCTTCAGCCAAGCGAAGCAACTCTTTAGCTCTTTTGAGTGTATTTTCTTTCTTTTGCAGTGTAAGTTCATGCACTTTTTGGAATTTCAATGGCTTTGCCCCGAGCAAATTTTTTAATATTTGCCGTATGGGATATTGCGATATGTTCAGCTCACGAGCCATTTTTCGGCCACTGCGATGCGGGATTCGATCAAGTCGCTTCTTTACTTATCGAACCATTTCTGCTGATGTTGCTTTTTTCTTCCGTTCACTTCCTTGGCGTCGGGCTACGCTACCAGTACCACAGTAAAGAGTGATGGTACGAGACACAAAAGATTTATTCAAATTTAAATGCTGGAGTTCTTTAACGATAGCCATTTGTGGTTAGGTTGAAAAGAGCGGTGAAGCAATTCGCCAGATGCCCTGTTGGACATACATTTAAGCCAGTATAGGCCTGTTATCCGCTCTAGACTAAGGGTTTTTGAAGAAGGCGGGTAGTTTACAGTCTGTTATATTTGAAATGCAAATTTCTTAACTGTATTATATAATTTATCATGGTCTGATTAAGGTCTGGTATGGAGTCGTTCCCTAAGAAACTGGATCTGATATTTGCAAACTCTGGGCATTGGCAGAGAAAATGTTCCAATGTTTCGTCATCTTCCCCACATGCCCAGCATATACTGTTTTCTGCACATCCTATCTTGTACAGATGAGCTTGTAGGCTCAGGTGCCCCGAAAGGAAGCCTGTTACCTGACTGATCTCTTTTTTACCTAGTAATATAAGGTTCTTCGTTTTTATCTCATCGGGTTCGCCCCAAAAGATTTTTGTGGTTTTCCCTACACTCTCATTGTTCCATAGGGATATATAGGCGTTTATTGCCCACAATATCAGTCATAAAAATAAAATCACATAATATCCAAAATGAATTAAATCTTATAGAATTATTTAATTTTTTACAACATACTTGTGGAATGTATACCATTTTTTTTTTTGGGATTCAATATTAATTAGAAAAAATTGGCAAAGGACCATGACCTCTCACTTAGTTTCGTTTATTATAATTTCATGATTGATTTAACTTCACAGCTGACTACTACTGCAATATTGACTTAATTCGCTGTACGTACAACCTTTCAATCTGCAACATTCATCGACAATGCCCTGTCGGCGTCTACGAATTTTCGCCAGAAAATTTTCTTCTTGACTCCGAAATACATCGCTTAAAGTTGCCATGGGATTTAGAACTTCCATGATATCCGGTGAAACTAATAATGCATCCAGAAGATGGAATAAAAAATAAACACCCGCAACACATATACATTGGTACAGAGCAAATAGGAAATAGTAACTCTTACCGTTTGATTTCTTCAGCCTTGTATTGAATCCCGTCTGGCCACATACATCCAATAGGGCCATATCCAATTTTGCACCACATAAGAGGGTATTGCCAAATGCATTTTTAGCGTAAGCCAATATTAGTATAACAATTACTCCCAAAATTTTCATAGTCATTTATGATTTTCGATATTGTAAGAATACTGATATTGTGATAAGGTTTCAATGTTTTATTTATAAGAAAATTTCCAGATATCTACCATGGTGTCTGCCATCATAACATATTTTATGTGGGCGCAGATGCGACATTGAATAAGGGGTTCGTTGCACAGTTTAACTTAAAATTAAGCAAACCTAATTGGGATGCGTTGCAATGTAGAATTTAATATAGATTTACAATTATGAATTGTGGTTACCCCAAAGACTGCATAGTATTCGTCTACAATATTCTGGCAAAATAAATAATATTTTAAATCGGAATATCGGGTTGTCAATGACTGGAACCCATGTGAACGAAATTGCTTGGTTGTCGTTCTTTGTAGCTACCTGTCCCAGTGTTACTCAGACTCCATTTATCTACAACCTCTTATTGTAGCCCCTCATTTATCAGTTCCACATCTGACCGTACCCCTTACGTACGATGTAAATAAACATACATTTCTTGGAAATAATTCTTGTTTGTTTCAATCCATGACACCATAACAACATTAGCAATTTTCTTCGGGCATTGACAGGTAAACAAATAAAAACAAACAGAGACACCCATGCTCTCTGCTAAAAATAACTACGTATGTATATTCGTTCCTTTAAGGGTTTCGGGGGTTAACGTGTGAAATATTGCAGCTGAGATGAATGAGAATGGGAGCTATGATAAGGAGTTTCTTCTGAAATTACATCAAATACCATACAAAGCCAAGGGAGTAATCAATTTGGTTGCAACTTCGCACATCGTAGGTCAGGTGGATAAACTCTTACCTAATCCACAAAGTGCCAGTATTTAGAATAATTCACTCATTTTCTTCTAAAATCGCACATAATATTTAAGATTTCTACTAAGAATATATGTAGTGTAATGATCGATATCATAATTTTAGCAATATCTGTAATGCGACTCTTCTTAAAATTCTTTCCTGACAATGCACCCTAAATGCCAAAGGGCCATAATGAGTCTCCAATTTGGTCCATATTTTAATTTTTTTGGTCATTGAAATGCTTTGCGAATAAATATTCTACGCTCAAAAAAAATCAAGCTAAAGGCAATTTGATTTATAAAATATAATCAAGACCGCTGTAAGGGCTGTATCAAATGAAGAATTTTATGTAAATAGCATTTCTATATTATAAGAAGTCAAAATGACATAATGAAAGGGGAACATTCCCGATAGGTAAACAAGTAAACAAGCAATAAGTTCGGCCGGGCCGAACTTTAAATGACCGCTAGGAACGAATTTGGAAATTTAAAAAAAAAAAAAAATTAAAATAAAAAATAAATAAAATCTTGTAAAATTCTAAAAGTTCCGAATTTAGGGAGTTGTAGGGTCATTACGAAGACGTGTACTAGCAGTGGCAATTTTTTTCATAGGCCATTACAATATTCAAATACGAAACTTGAAAAACGTTCCGGTAAATAATGCAGCGAAAATCGTCAAAATACCGACTAATCGTGTAGGGATATACCGATATAAGACCTGGACCTGCATATACATTTTTCTGTCATAGACTGTAGTACCCATTACAAACTTTAAAAACCAAAACAAGAAAAAATTCCGGTGAATAATGTAGCCAGGATCATTAAAATACCGAATATAGGAAGGTACCCTTATTAGGAGTCTATATGAAGACCTGGACCTGTATAGGCAATTTTCTGTCACATGCTGTACTACCCGTTACGTACTTCAAATGCCAAATTTGAAACAATTCCGGTGAATATTGTCGATGATATCATCAAAAAACCGAATATAGGGATGTACCGATATATGGGGGCAATAGATACCCCTGGATCTGCAAATACAAGTTTCTGATAGACTGTAGTACCTAGTGGGAACTTCAAATACGAAATTTGAAATAATTTGCGTGAATAATGTCGCTGAAATCATCAAAATACCGAATATAGGAAGGTACCGATATATGGGACTATATAAACAATTTTCTGTCACAGAAAATTTAGCGCAATTTAAAAGAATTCCGGTGAATCCTGTTGGGTCTAAAATTTATATTTCGAGGTGTTAGAAACGGAATGACAAACTTAATATACCCCCATACAATGGTGGAGGGTAAAAAAATTTGGGATGTGTGAAATTTGAATCAGAATATGATTCTAATTTCGTTTTTTATAAGAGTAATAATTATCCAAAATGTTGACCCTTTGTATGGGAGGTACATGATAGAGTGGTTCGATATTGCCCATTATCGCACTGATTCAACTAATAGGATTTGTAAAAATTGAACAAAATTGAATAGCCCGTTCATGCTCTATACGGATAGTTATTTTCGGTGAAAATGTTGACCTCTTGTGTGGAGATACCAGAAGGAGTATACATATATTTCCCATCTCCGAACTCAATCTAAGTTTGATAATAATATTGCGATGTATGTGAAGGTGCACATTTTCGTATAACCGCCATATAACGTTACCTAGCGACATCAGTTTTGTGATGATTATTGTCACATTATCCACGGATTCGTCTAAAAATTGATGTTTGAAGTTCTTAATGGGTTTTCGTTTCAGTAGCAGAACATTGAATATCTAGGTTCATGGTTTCCGTTATTTTGATAACCCTTGTCACATTTACCCACGGATTTTTTTTAGATTTATCATTTAAGTTTACTAAATTTGTACTCTTTTTGGTATGGCCTTCCACTTAACGGACTCACCCACTTTTTTTTTTTGAAAATCTTTAACTGCTTTATCCAAACGGTCTTACTGGTATTTGTAGTTTAAAGTGGAACACTCCACCAAATGGTGGAGGATATTAAAAGTTCGGCACGCCGAACATAATGTTTTTTTTTTACTTGTTTCCATTTGTCTTTATTTTGTTTTCATTTGACTTAGCAAAACCGGGTATTTATATTTGAATACATCAATCTGTCATAAGCCGTTAGCAGATAATATCTGCAAAAACCCTAATGCCATTACTTATATAACTTCTGGAATCTTACCTTCAATTGTCTTGTCATGGTGATTCTTTAAAGCAAAATGTGTCACTAACACAATTCTATTCAATGCTTTTATTTGGCGAAAAAGAAAAATATTCTATTGAATGCTAAGAAATGCAAAATTATCCAAGATAAATAAACATTTTTATGCACAATACATTAGTATATCGGCATAGACACAGCCATTGGTGCAGCATTCATCGGCAACACCACGGCTACGTCCCACAGCGCTTTGCCTACGATTGCGTATTATCACTTTGTGAGTAGTTTGGGTATGGGAACTTATTTCAATGAAGACCTTATCATCTGTTTGATGGGTCGATTTCGGTTCGAGTTTACTTAAAATTTCCTTAATACGATAATACCAGCTGTCGTCGGGCGGTGATGTTTCGGTGGGTCCATATTCCATTTCCACTAAAAGAAAATAACAGATTTTTAATGAAAATAGTAGTAATCGATCATAGTGATTTGAGAAATCATTAATAATTATAGAGAGTAATGTAGAGTACGACTTTGACCATGAAATATGTCTTTAATAAATATGTTCAGGATAAGATTTAGGGCCCATAGTCGAATTTTATGACAAATAATTTTGTAGAATATGGGGACATCATGTTTAAAGGGAGTTTTTAACCATATTTTGAAATAACGAACAAAAATAACCCTTTGGTATTGTATAGCTTAACCAAATCTAGCGCTTTTATCTGCAATATTGCCGTAGACACTATATATCTAAAACCAACGGATTCCAAGGAATCCAAATTCAAAAATTTAAATCCAACTTCGAAAATGGAGCTTGCCCCATTCGTTTTAAGTTACTTTGCGATGTGAACTTCTAAACCGCCTGTATCCATGTGTTATGTCGGACTTCCCCGATTTCTGGAAATGCTAATGAGATTCAAGGCGATTTTCGTTAGAAAAATATTAAATCAATATTCGATTGTAAAAACGAAGGAAGCCAAAAATGTACATCAAAATGTTTCAGGATTTAGACGTCAATGCTTCGGAATTGTGTTTTTTCTCATAAATATGCTATAACTTCTCAACTGTTTGAGATATTTTCATATATTTTCTGTGATTGTTGTAGAATTTAGGGCCAATATCCAATATAATAATTTCTTTTAAATTCTGCTATATAATAAGGACTATTTTAATTATGTTTTTTTTTTACAACAATAAAAGTACCAGGTTTTCCAGCTAGATGCGTTATTTTGAATTATCCTGCTCAAGAACAACTCAGAATATTGCTGTTTAGCCGAAATTGTTGAGGAAACCCCAGATTTGTCCATTTATCGTCGTTGTTTTGGGCATTGGTTCAAGTTAAGTTAAGACAAGAACTCAAGCCGGCCGATCATCAACAAAACGATGGTTTCCATAATTGCGTTTTTGAAAGGCATGATATTGATCTGAAATTCTATCGCAAAATAATGAGACTCATTTTCATTTAGTATCGTTGAAATTCTATATCTTCGCATCAGGGGCTCGGAAAATCCAAGAGTTATTGTTGAGAAGCTTTCCCATCTTTTCTTTCTCCGGCGGAGGTACAATTTTTTCTTTTTGCCAAAAAAGGTTAGATCAAGAGTTACCTTAACTGGATTGTGTTATCGAGAGATAATTGTAGTATTTTATGGCCGGATTAGATGGTGTTGATCTGGATACGTTAATATTCTGCTACCTGCCACACAAGCAACAAAACCATTGCACTTTTACCAAATGTCATTGTTGTCGAATGCATATTACGAATTTGAGGGACTTAAACACCAAATCAGATGAAACATATATACGAGCTATAGCTATATCTGAACCGATTTTCTCCGAATTCGAAGTTTTTGCTTCTAGACTGAATTTGGTTGAATGAACCAAAATTCAGGACTTTTGGACTAATATTGGCCATTTGGTGCACAATTAACCCGGTTGAAGATATATATGGGACCTATATCCAAATCTGAACCGATCTTGATACAATTTGTCAGAAGTATATCTGGGCTGTATCAGATAACTGGTATCAAATATCATTGATGTCGGATGTATATTACGAATGTGAGGGACTTAAACACAAAATCAGATGAATCATATATGTGGGAACTATAGCTATAGCTGAACCGATTTTCACCAAATTTAATTTAATTTGGTGCACAATTAATCCGAAAGCGGTTGGGCATATATATGGGAGATTTATCCAAAGCTGAACCGATCCTGACGAAATTTTATACACCTATTTCAGAGCTATATTTGATATCTAGTAAAAAAAATAATTTTTTTTTGGAATGCATATTACGCTTGTGGGGGACTTTAAATCCCAAATCGGATAAATTATATATATTGGAGCAATAGCTATATCTGAACCGATTTACACGAAATTTAAAGTACTGGTATCTATTATGAATTCAGTCGTAAATGCTAAAATTCAGCACATTTGGGCTGATATTAGCAATATAGTACACATTAAACCTGATATCGGAAAAGATATCCTAATCTGAACCGATTTAGATAAAATTTGACAGAGGTATTTTCTAGCAGTATCTGATGTCCGGTACCAAATATCATTCTTCTGGGATGCATATTACTCATGTGAGGTATATAAATCCCCAAATCGGATGAAACATGTATATGGGAGCTATAGCTATATCTAAACCGATTTTCTCCAAATTTGATTATCTTGCTGCTAGACTAAATTCGGTGGGAAGTACCGAATATGGTATGCACACAAATATATCGATAAGTTGTTAGAATGTATTACTACATGATGGGAAGATGATTGAATGAAGGCGTATTTTATTAGATTTGTATTCTACTTTATCAATTACATTACATATATATTATAGAATTCCCAATTCGATTTATTTAAATATTTATCAAAGAATTTGAAAAAACACCATTCTTATTTGTATTCTGTACTTACGACATCTTTTTATGCGATAATTGAAACCGTTTACACAAACCGACGCCAATACATCGGTTAAAGCAGATCCACATATCCTTTGTCCACCGGCCGAACACTTGACGACGAATACCAATAATGCAAAATATAAAATGAATGCCGAACGAGACGTGTTATAGCACTGGGATGATGACATTATCACTGGCTTCAATATGTCAGACGTATGAAGTGCAGGCTGCCTGGTGTCAATTCTATTTATATTCAGTCGACAGGTAGGACCAGTATCATTGGCTTTGATTTCCTAAATCAATTTGTACTGTATGTCCCTGTATGTGTGTGTGTATGGGAGTGTGTGTGTGTCTGTGTGTTTTCGTTGGTCACATGTGCCATAAATTGTATAGTGTTTAGTTGGAAGGAATTCCCTATGATATCTCTCTATCTGTTTTCGGTCTGTCTGTCCGTTTGTCTATCTGTCTGTGTGTTTATGACTTGACTATTTTCCATTATTTCAATCCATCTGTCTTTGTGTGTTTTACAATCGGAATTTGTAAAAGGTATTTCCTGTGGAAATCGATACGACCACATAAAGGGATTGCCTGGATGGGATGCAGATTTTCAATACAATTTGCATGTCGTCTGTAAAAGATACACTCAATCTAATATTGATTGCTTGAGTTTTCCCTACCAAACATCAGCAGGCATTGTGGTAGCATGTGTCGTGTGGTAGCTATGTGTGTGTTTGTATGTATGTATGCATGCATGCAGCTACCCGTATAATGAGACTGCTCAAATGGAATATATCAATTATGAGATTGTCTATTTTACATTTTGACTTTTCTGGGGCGTATGTAAATAATATTACAGAATAGGAAGACGATGGCCATGACAAAAATTCCCATATTTTTGTTTTAACTAATTGGATTTTAAGAGATGGCAAAAAGAAATCTTTACTTACACTAATGTACACATACAAATGCAATTACTTTGTGTAGTAAATGCATGGTGGTGAAAGGGACAGGTAATAAGTAATAAGAATACTGATAATAATAATTTGAAGAATTAATAATACAAGAGAATTTACTAACAAATATGACATCGAATTTAATAGATATACAAAGTGTAATTTGGGATATTATTTATGCCTAACATATCGGAAATTTTTATAGAATTCCAATGATCCTGGGTTAAGGGAAATGAAATAGATACCTTCCAGGACGATGGCTATGGTGAGATTTCTCATATATATATTTTATACCCTCCGTTATACATAGTATGGCGAGTATATTAAATTCGTCATTCCGTTTGTAACTCGTCGAAATATTAATTGTAGGCCTAACAAAGTAAATATATTTTGACTAGGGTAAAATTCCCTGTCCGTCCTTCCGTCTGTTATAATCACGCTAGAGTCAAACCAAATTAAAATAGGAAGCCAAAATTTTGTACAGGTCAGTTTTTTGTCTGCTGACAGGTCAACTTCGAAGTTGGACTATGTCGGTCCACTATATCGTATATCCCTCATTTAAGGGTACCTCCTGATATTTGGTATTTTGGTGATTGTAGCCAATTTTTTTAATGAAATTTTCTGAAAATCCACACAAGGAGATCCTTCTGAGTACTTTAACCATTCGAAGAGAATTGTATACTTAGGTCCACGATATACAACTGTACCACTGATATTCGGTATTTGATGATTTTAGCGACAGTTTTCACATTTATTCTAATTTCTTGTTTGAAGTTCATAAGGGGTATTTCAAACTATGATGGAAAATTGTCTGTGCAGGTCCACGCCTTCGTACAGTCCCCATATAACTATATCTTCCTATATTGCATATTTTATGATTTTTGCAACATTATTAAACGGAATTATATCAAATTTCGTATTTCAGGTTCGTAATAGGCACAACAACTTATGACGGAAAATTGTCTCTGCAGTTCCACTCTTTTTATACCCTACACCACATAGTGGTAAGGATATTATGTATTTGTGCATATGTTTGTAACATGGAGAAGAAACCGAGTTAGACCCCATAGTTACTTTTGAGGATATTCATAGAAACACTTTCTGTGTCGATTTAAGCATATCAATCCGTCTGTCCGTCTGTCAGTGTATTCTTGTGAACAAAATGTAGGTCGCATCTATTATCAGATGGAAATGAAATTTTCAGAACAATATTTTTTTGGCCCAAGGACGAACCCTATTGAAATTGGTGATAATCGGATCAGATTTAGAAATACCTTCCATATATATCTTTGACCGATTTCGTGTTAATTCTGCGCCAAATGGTCAATATCAGTCCAAATCACCTGAATTTTGGCATATTTGGTGAAAATCGTTTCAGATGTAGTTTTAGCTCCCATATATATGTTTCATCCGATTTAGGGTCCCTTACACTCGTAATATGTATTCGACAACAATGATATTTTGTGCCAGATATCTTATAGAGCTCAGAAATACCTTTGCCAATTTTTTTCGAGATCGGTTAACATTTGGAAATATTTCTCATATATATCTTTAATCCGATTTCAGGTTTATTGTGCAAATAATGGCTAATATCAGCCCAAATGGAGTGAAGTTCGAGACGTAAGTTTGCATTTTGTGGAACTCGGCTCTGATATATATGTTTTTAATATAATCCTTCTCAAATGGATATCATGCACCCTATAGCAATGTTATGTGGTATAAAAGATAAAAAATATCTTCCATCAAATTTAATTAAAGTCGATTCAGAATTGATAATGCTTCCCATATATTAGTTTCCTCTGAAACCAAATTTTAACTGCTCTTAAGCCAAATGTTGATAGGTGGTATGGTCTACTTCAAATAAATTCTTTTGTTCCGGGAACTCTATTAAATATACATAGTGGTGTAGGGCATCATACAGTGGGACACGCCCGACTTTTGACTTTTCCTTACTGGTTTTTCTACTCACTAATACTTTTTCTACTCAATAATACCTAAATGACATTTTTCATTCGACTCCATGTATCCGCAAGGCAAACTTAAAATATGCTATGCTTGATACAGCGAAGTACTATGTAGGGCCTTAGCTGGTTTATACATTCCTGTATTGTTCCTAATGGAGTTGAAATATTTGTTTCTTAAGTCACAGGAACATTGAAATACAAGTAAAAACATCAGTACCACCATTGGATCAAAGATTGAAATTAAAAAAAATAATAATAAAATTCTGTAAAATTTCTGTTAAAATCTAAAAATACCGAATATAGCCGTTATTTTAGGGTCTATACGAAGACGTAGACCTGCATATGCAACTTTTGTCATAGGCCATTATAATATTCAAATACGAAACTTGAAAAAATCCGGTGAATAATGTATCTTAAACCATCAAAATATAACATATAGGGAGATACCGATATATGGGGCTATGTGAAGACCTTAATACGCATAGACAATTTTCTGTTATAGACTATAGTGCCCATAAGAAACGTCAAATATGAATTCCGATTAATAATGTTGCTAAAATCATCAGAATACGGAATATAGGGAAGTACCGACATATGTGGGGGCTATACAAGATCTGGACCCGCGTAGACAAATTTCCGTCCCAAACTGTAGTACCCACTAGGAACTTCTAATACGAAATTTGAAACAATGCCGGCGAATAATATCCCTAAAATCATCAAAATACCGACTATAGGGAGGTACCGTTACATGAGGGACATACGATACCGTGGACGTACATAGGCAGGGGCTACACTGTTTAGAAGGAACTCCTTGTGTTTGGCAACAATCATCAAAATTTCGAATATCGGGGGTAATGTTATATGGAGGCTATACGATATCGTGGATCGATATTGCCCATCTGCGAACTTGACCTGCCTGCAGACAAAAGACAGATCTGTGCAAAATTTTACCTTCCCATCTTAATTCGTTTTGACTGTAACGTAATTACAACAGACGGACAGACAGACGGACGGAGAGGCCTTAATCGTCTTAGAATTTTACGCTGATCAAGAATATATATTTACTTTTTTAGGTCTAAAATTATTATTTCGAGGAGTCACAAACGGATTGACGAACTTAATATACCCTTTGGTGGAGGGTATAAACCATAGAAACTTGCTTTCGTTCATGCCATCAGTTACGGAATCAATTTACATAATTATAATGTTCTCTTCTCTCTTTACTCTAATCTTCGATATTGCGTTGAATATTTTATCTTTAGTTTATAACTCCTTTTTAAATTTAATAGTAAATTTTCCGAAAAAGTAAGAATATTTAATTTTTCTTTTTTGAAAATATTAGTAGGATTTGCATCCTAGCATAATTTATGAAATAAATGCAATAACTTTCCATTTCTCTCTAATCGACTGAAGTCTAATGGAGGAAACGTTTTCGTTGACTGTTGCTGTTCGCAAGCGTATAACAGGCCATTATATTACATAACGCAAAGAGTTCATCCTTTGATGCTTTGGTCTGCTCTTCAAAAGTCAAGTGGAGTTGATGCATGGGCCCTCATATTGCACTTGTAGAGCAAACAATGCAATGGCATAATGTTTCATAAGTTTCATGCAATTTTCTGCTACTGGATGTCTGGCATGCTGGTTGGTTGCTTGGTTGGTTGTTATGTTCCTGTTCCGTCTCCAAGTGGATTTATACTTCCTTGTGAAGATCCATCCATGGACATGGTACTCTGTGCATGTTTGCATGTAGTGTAGTATATGCACACAGGAGGGATGCGACGAGTTTGTAGGACTTGTGTTAACAACAATGTAAAGTGGGCTGGTGGCGGTATTGAAAGTATGTAATTTTAACATTTTAATTGATAAACATTGTTTAAGCAAATATTTGACAATTAACTGAAGATACTCTTCGACTAACAAACCATAAGTGGGACCGCTGCAATGTTGATGACTCTGTTGAGGCTGATGCCAGCATAACCCATAATAAAGATGTTGATAAACTGGAGAAGATGAAACAAAACCAAAAGATACATGGTGTTTATGGGATTAGTAAGGTTGCATATCAAATTTTATGTTTTAAGATGTTGTCAAGAGTAAGGATGTAATTTTATAAACACATACATGTCTATTATGCATTTGACTATTACACGGGTTAGAGGTCCTTACTGCTGAAGTAACATATAATAAATACAAGAAGTGCCAGTTGCAATTTGAGAAAATATATGCGTAGAAAGAACAAGAAAACAAGTTTCGGCCTGGCCGAACTTTGAATACCCTCCACCATTTGGAACGAATTTGGAAATTTAAGAAATAAAATCCTTAAAAAATTC